AACCATTCAGTGTGTCTAAAGTTATGAGCTACGACTTTAACTGGCCAACCATCAAGAAAAATGCTTTGAGGTAACAGTATAAGAACTAAGCAGATTTGTCAGCAAGTGCTGTGCAGTCTGGACCAGAAGCCACCCTGCCACCCAGCCAACAAGGGAAGGACCCACACTTTAAGGCTGTACAAGAATTGCTTCCTGCCTGCATTGAGTAAAGATCTCGGTACAGCTAAGATAATACTAAGGACTTATAGTTCACTTTATATTGAGAAAGAGTCTTTTCTGTCATTTAGTTCTGTAACTTGTTGGTAGTTATTAAAGCAAGCCTTTCTGCTATTCATCAACTGAGTGTTGTGTCAATTCGTAAAGCACTAGGTTAAAAATTAGGTTTTTAAGTGCAACAAGGGGGTGTGGCTGTGTGTGCAGGGGGTATAGGGTATGTTAGGGGGTTGTGTATATGTGGAGGGTTGTGAGGGAAAGGTGTGGGTGTGTGGGGTTTGTGGGGTGTGAGGGAGGGTGGAGGGGTGTGGAGACTCCCACACCCAACATGGTGCAATAGCAGCAGGCAAGGGCGCTCAGGGCTCTAGTGCCTGGAGGGACGTGGCTCTGGCCAGTGCTGCATATTGCAGCAAGGACCACAGCCCCTCTCCAGGAAGTCTGTATCGCCAACATGGGTGACTGGTGCCTCCTGAGTTGGGGGGGGCACTTGCCCCCCCAGCAGCCAATCAGCGACCGGGGTGGGGGCGCGTTACCCCGCAGCCAATCCCGCCAACCAGCTGGCAATTCTGGGTGAGCACGATCAGCCATGTGGGGACTGCAAGGATCACTTCTCCTGGTGCCCCCACTCCCCAGCCGGCGGTCTCAGAGGGGGCGTCACCACCCTTGCCTGCCCCTCCTGCCCAGGAATGCTGTCTGTCAAGGGGTGCACCAGCACTCTCAGGGGGTGCATGTGCACCCCTGTGCACCCCCTATGCATCACCACTGATCACCTGCACTCCCCACACTTGTGTGGCACTGGACGGAAGCCCTGTGTGCTGGAGCCAGCTGCCTTCCCCACCAGGGCTGTGCAGCATGGGAGGGAAGCTCCAGGCACTGGAGCCGGCTGCCTTCCCTGCCCCCCAGGAGAAGGTGCCTGGGGCTTCTCTCCCATGCCACACAAGTGCAGGGAGCCGGCAATACAGATGGCCCAGTCAATGGAGGCTGTGCCCCTCACCGTAATGTGCAGCTCTGGCCGGAGTCATGCCATACTGGGTGCCTGAGCACCCCTGCCTGCTGCTGCTGTGCCACCACTGCCTACCAGGGCTGCACACCATGGAGTGTGTGTGGGAGGGGTCCCCCCATCACACCCTCCATCACACCCACACATTGCCCAACCAAGCGCTGTGCTGCTGCCACCCACTGCACGTGGACTTTGTGCTGCTGCCAGACCCAGCCCCATGCTCCACACTTCTGCCCAGCTGCAGCTCTGCCCTGCCACTTCCATACCTGCTGCCCAGAGTGAGTGGGAGGCCAGGGAAGCAGAGCAGGTCCCCGGGGGTTGCAGCAGCAGCATCCCTGCCCAGGAGCTGCTGATGGCCAAGCTAGGCACTGCTGCCCACAAGTGTGGGAGCAAAGTGCAATAGGGTATGTTGGGAGGGGGGGTGTACACATGGGTGCCTTACTCCCACCTTCATAAGCAGAAGGGCTGGGTAGGGTGCAATTTGTTGGGGGTTGCTGCATGCCAGATGAAAGGGCTTGGCAGGCCACATCCAACCCACGAGCCGTATTTTGCCTGACCCTGAGATAGCATGTGTATGGGGGAAAGTACAGGCCCTATTACTGCAGGGCTCATGCCACACTTGCTTATAGGGGAAGGGCAGATCTGGCAGCCAGGGTAAAGCCAGCCATTTTGGTGCCTGTGGGTGAAAGGCAAGACCTTAGCCAAACCCTTCCCTGAAGAAGCAGGGGCTGGGATGAATAGGGCCCTGGGGTGGGTGGTGAGATGGTCAGAGTCTGGGTGGCACATCCAGGGGCGTGGGGGGCTCCCACTGCTGCGTGCACCCTGGGAGAAGCATGGGGGCACATGCTCCCTGGATTTGTGCGCAGGACAGAGGCAGGCTGCCCACTGTGTCCTGGGCTCTGCACCCCGCTGCCACTGCCTCCGGAGTTGCTTGTGATGCCATGTTCCTTCCGCGTGTTGGCTGCACCATGTTCCCTGCCCACCCAGCAGCAGAAGGCACATGGCATTGCACGCAGCTCCAGAGGCAAAGGTAGCAGGACACAGAGCCCAGCACACAGCGGGCAGCCCACTGCTCTCTGGGAGTTTTCTCCCCCTTGGGCCAGCCTGCCCTGTCCCCATGGCAGGGCTGGCACAGAAGGACACGGCCCCTCCTGGGGTGGCCTGGGACTTTCCAGGGGCACTGGGGAGCATGTGACCCCCCTGGATTTGTGCGTGGGGCAGAGACGGGCTGTCTGCTGCACGCTGGGCTCTCCAGAGCCACACGCAACGCCATGTGCCTTCCACCGCCAAGCTGGCGGGAGACACAGTGCAGTCTGTTCGCAAAAGGCACCTGGCATCACACGCGGCTCCTGAGGAAACACCAGCAGGGCATAGAGCCTAGCGCACAGAAGGCACCTCCATTCTCCATTCTCCATTCCGCCAGTGGTGTGCATAATGGTGGGGATAAGCCCCCGGATAAGCCTCCCATGGCTCTGTCCCATGACCCACCCTAGCCCCAGGGTCCTATTTACCCCTGCTCCTGTCCCACTCCCACCCTCACCATGGGGGCCTCAATCTGCCCCACAACTCCTTCCCTCTGCCCCTCCCCCTCCACAGACTTACCTTCTGGGTGTTGTGTGTGTCTGTGCATGTGTGTCTGTATGTCTATGTGTCTGTCTGTGTGGTCTGTCTGTGTGTCTGTGTGCATCTCTATGTCTGTCACTCCGAAACCACAGCCCCCAAGCCTGGCTGCTGCCTCTCGCTCCTGATCTATAGTGACCTGCATCCTGCCAGGGCATGCGGAGACCCCTGTCCCTGGGCTCCAAACCCCACATATACACCCACAGCCCCCACCAGACATCCGAATACTGTGCTCTGTCAAGCAAGCTCACCCCTCGCGCTAAAGCAGAGCCAGGCAATTATTTCGGGCAGAGGGCCACTTACAAGTTTTGGCAAGCTGTCAAGGGTCACATGGGTAGCCCTGCCCCTTGACAGGTGCTCCACCCCCTGGTCACCATGTTAGGACTGGAAGTCCTGCTCCCTAATCCCTGACCTTTGCCACCAGAAGTCCTTCCCCTTGCCCCCAGAAGTACTCCTTTCAGCAAGGGGTTTTGCCATCTCAGAACCAGAAAAATACCAAATTATATTCTAAAAAATGAACATGAATCAACATTCATTAATTTGATTTCAAAAAATATTTTTGTCCTGGTTTGTGTGTGTTTGTGTAGTGTACATAGAGGTGATTGTATATAATAGCTTAAAATGAAGTCTTACTCTTGTATATTGTGGGGGGGTGGATATAGGTTTGTGGGGGGCTGTGGATGTGTGGGTATGTCAGGTGTGGGCAGTGGCAATGTATATGGGGTGCATGGGGGTGCACCCCCTGAGAGCACTGGTGCACCCCCTGACCGGGCATGCTTGCCACTTAGGCGATGGGCAGGAGGGGCAGGCGGGAGCGCTGGTGCCCCCCCTGCAAATGCCAGCTGGGGAGTGGGAGCACCATGGCAAGCCACTTCCGGCCGCCTTGTGATCAGTCGCTGACTGGTCACTGAGGAGGCATGTGCCTCCCCTGACTAAGGTGGCACCAGTCACCCATGGGTGTGGGGGAGGGTGTGGGTGTATCTGTGGGGGGTGAATAGGTGTGAGGAGTGTGGGTGTGGGGTGAGGGAACATGTGGGTGTGTGTATGGATATGTAGGGTGTGGGTGGGCATAGGGTTTGTGGAGGAATGTGTGTAGAGGGAGGGTGGCTGGGGTGCATGAAGGGGTGCGGGGTCTGTGTGTATGGCAGTGCAAGGGGGGTGTATATGTATGGTGGGGTGTGCACGTGGGACTCGCCATATGAACACACACACACGCACACACACACACACACCAGATCTGTCCCGCAGGCCGTATTTTGCCCACCCTTGTACTGAAGACATCCCCAAGTGTATCTCTGGATGAGTAAGCTTACACTGTCTTTCTTCCAATTTGTGAAGGAGGAAGTGAGGGAGGAAGTGGGGAAGAGGCAGGTGCTGGGGACGATGCCCAGCCAGGGCAGTGGAAGGGGCCAGAGTGTGGAGCAGGGTGGAGCCACCGCTGACTCATCCAGGGGGTGCAGGGCATGGTGGGGTGGCTTCCTGCCACTGTGTGCACCCCCAGGAGGGGCATAGGGGGCACATGCCCCTGTCCTCAGATGTGTGCGTGGGACAGGGGTGGATGCAGACTACCCTCTGCGGGCTCAGGGCTCCCCGCCCTGCTGCCTTCCCCCTAGAAGCCCCACCAGCCATGGTGACCTGCCCCCTGCCTGCCCAGCAATGGCATGGAGTTGTGCCCCTTGCTGCTGCCAGGCAGGCAGGGGGCATGCATCTGGCACAGGGATCCCAGGGGAAGGGCAGCAGGGGGGGAACCCCAATTCCACAATGGGCAGCCTGCATCCACCCCTGCCCCTGCCCCACTTGGCTCTGCTCCAGCCATGCCACCGGCAGACGCATGGGGTGGGGGGGCCGGTGGGCATGTGTCCTGCCTTTACATTCTAAAAGGGTGGTCGCCCTGCTGAGCCAATAGACGAGGCAGAGGCAATTGGGGTGCAGTAGAGAGATCATCCCAAGCCTGGTCCAGAGGTAATTGGCCTAGATCTCTCAACCCACACCTGGCTATGGTTGCCTAGCAACCAGAGCATTCCCTATATCCACACAGACCTTGGCGTGGCTGGAGCCAGAGCGTGGAGGCAAGAGCCCCACTGTACTGTCTCACTGTGAGGAGCGACATGATCGTCTTATTCCTTCAATAACCTGCAGCAGCAGCAGCTACCCCTTGCTTGCGGGGATGGGCTCAGCCCCATGGTGAGTAGAGTGGATGGAAGAAAAGAGGGGTTATAAGCAGGGAGGGTCATGTGTCATATATGTTCATTGGTCAGTGGTGCCTATTCTTTTGGCAAAGTCACATTGAGTGGCTGTGTCTACACGAGATGTTATTGCTCAGTAGCAACGAGTGACAGGCAGTCCTTGACTTACAGCATTTCGAGTCACAATGTTGCGCCCTTACAACATTTATAAATTGACACCCTGTTTCAACTTTCTGACATCAGTTTCAACTTTACAACGCTTGATCCAACACCACACCACACCAGCAAACAAGTTCACTGTGTCCCCCATCTCCCTGGAGAACATCTGTCCAATCTTCCTTGGACACTTTCTTTAAAAAAGCAGACATGACTTTAGAAAAACCTGCAGCCAAGACTCCTGGAAAGACTCCAGCCAAGAACCCTTCAAAAAGTCCAGGAAAGTCACCTCAAAGAAGTCCTCCCAAATCAATACAATTGCTATTTACAATATAAATACATTAATGTAGATATATTGCTCATCTATAATAGATTGAGTAAAAAATTCTGGGTTATTTTTAAGGTATTGAGCCTTGGTTCAGGAACCAATCCCCCATTTATAACATTGTTTCCTACGGGAAAAATCGGTTCCAAGTTACAACATTTTGACTTAAGATGTGGTTTTCAGGAACCAATTGTGTCGTAAGTCTGAGGACTGCCTGTACTGTGCAGTAGCTCGTTGCTACTGTGCAGTAGTGTCAGAAAAAAACCATGCAGAGACGCTCCTGCACAGTAATGCCAGTTACCATGTAGTCATTTAGTACTTGGTTATGCAAGTACTAAATTACTGCAGAGTAACAACTGCTCAGGTCGCCACTTTTGTAGATGTGGCCAGCGTCTAGATTGAAGCTTTCCTTCTGCAGGCACTACTCTGATGGCCTCATGCACACAGCAGAGCTGATTTGAGCAGGCAGCAAACATCAGTGCCAAGAGGTCAAACCACCAGCTAAGCGCAATTAGCAACATTCATCCCAGTCCTGTCCACGTGGCACCATGGACATTTGAGTAACCCAATCATTATCCAGGATCTGTTAAAGCAGGGGTGCTCAACCCCTGGCCTGTGGGCCAAATGTGACTCTCAGTCCCCTGGGCATCTAGCCCACAGGGTTTCCCACAGGTTCGATATTTAGATGTGGGGAAGAGCAGTCACCCCTCCCCCTCTGCCAAATCCCCAAGCCCCATATGGCTGGGTTGGGACCAAGCCATGCCCCCTTCTCTCCACTTGGCTGGATCACAGCTGACTCAAACCAGGTCACACCCCCACCCTCCTTCACACTGCTGGATCAGGGTTGAGCCACACCCCATCCCCTACACCTGTGCGTCTGGATCAGGCCCTGCCATGCCTGCTCCATGCACCAGATTGGACTCGCTGGCTGGATCCAGCCCATAGAGAGACCAAGCACTTTCCATCCGGCCTGTGGAGCTAAAAGGTTGAGTACCACTATGTTAGAAAATCCTTTATCTGCTTATTATGGAGAGGATCCTAACTGGCGAATATGTACGGATCATGCATGGAATAGATCTAACCATCCTTAACCAGGCATGACCTTGTCATGATCTAGATGGCATCTTTGTACTTTGCCAGCATCTGCTTATCTGATACATAATATGTGTTTAAGTTTAAAAACAGGGAAATGCTTTTTTCCCCATTTAAAACTGTTTTCAAAAGGTTGCAACCCACTAAGAAGGCAGGAGCTCAACCATTAGGATACACAAAATACGTGAGTTTGACTCACCAGGCATGTAGTGATTGCATTTAGTGGTTGGAAGCCAGTCTGAGGCACCAGTAGGTATCTGTGGATCCATCTGTAAGACACAACCTGGGGCAATGGTAGTCTCTAGGGCAGTGATTCTCAACCAAGGTGCTGGGGCTTCAGGTGTGAGGAGATAAGCAGATAGGAGCAGATTCAAGTCCCCCTGCCTGGCCAGTCCCCCATCCCTACTGCCTGGTCCCTGCAAGGATGTAAGCACTGTAATAAATCAATCAGTTTTTAAAATGGGGTGCCATTTAATTCACAAAAGTCACGTAGGGATGCCTCAAGTCTAAGGAGAGGTACTTTGACTCTAAAAAGGTTGATAACGCTGTTCTAAAGCCATTTAATATTTGGCCCGCCTGCTAAAAAAATATCCACAAGGATATCAGAATTAGCGTCTAATGAGAATTGAACATCTGGGCACTAAATGTATATCTAAACTTACAGTTTATTTACATAAGAACATATGACTAGAAGGGGCCTACAGGGTCCTCCAGTTTACTCCTCTGCATTCACAGGAAATTTTATCTAAAATTTCCTAACATTTCCACGTCCACTTCTGCAGAGTGGTTTATCAGGCCCATGAAGCCCAAACATCAGTAGTGATTTGGGCATGGGGCCCTTCTGCAGTGATGGGGGGAGGAATTTGCATGTGTGGCAGCAGTGGCAGTGGTGGCTGGGTTGGAAGTGCTAGCTTGCCAGAGGACAAGTAGCACTATTTTGGCCCACCATTCCTAAAGATTACCTTAGGTAAAAGCAGGGAGATGGAGGCCTCATCAGTGTCCTTCCACTACAATGTTAGGGAAGTAGTTAATATATGCTTAAAGGATCTCAGGAAGAAGACCATGCCCCACACTACAAAGAAAAGCAAATCTTCCTTCCACCACAGCTTTTGCCAGTTTGACCTAGGGGAAAATTCCTGCCTGATGCAGATTTGGTGATCAGAATGATCCTGAGAGGAAGAGCGAGATCTTCTTGTCAGAAACCTTTGGGTTTTCTATGTACAGGCAGGATCAATAGTTCACTTCCATTAAAGCTCCTCACCTTATCTGTAGTCTGCCTCTAAATGCAATATCTAATTTCCCACAGGCCACTGAGAGAAATGATGTGTGGGGGAGTCTCAGATGAGAGGATCATTTCATCCTTGGTCTGCAGTGGGAAAGCAATAGGGCTTGTGTCTATTTTTAGCAATATACCTTGAACCAAATTCACAGCTTGCTTATGTGGGCATGGCTCTATGGACTCCATTGGTATCATACCTGTTTATGGCTAGGGTGAATTTGGTTCAGAGTCGATATTATTTTAATATCAAATGACTTACCCAATGCATAGTGGGCTTGATTTTTTGAAGTGCTAAGCAGCCACAGCTTCCCAGAGTGGCATTAATCTTCTCTGGCATTAATCATTCCTGGACTCAGTGGCATTAATCTCCTCTAACAAGCAGGCCAGCTTTATGGACTATTAATAGTCTGTATTTTAAGACAGTCCACTGCAATAACACAAGCACATCACTGTGATCTTAGCAGAACAAAAACTCTGTCTGTTGGTGTATTTTCGGGGTCTCCATCATGGAAAGGGAATAGGATGAAATGGTGAGGTCCTGACTGAGCTGGGTAGATAATATAGACTCTAGCCTGCTTTGTTATAGCTTAGCCCTGTTACCTTAATCCCTAAGCAGAAGTGTTTGCTTTCAGGTACAAAGAGAAATTGCCTTCAAAGTGCTTTCAAGAATACAACAATAAACTGAAGTTCTCAGATTCCTTGAACAGCCAGCATTGGAGATTTTTGAAAAGTGGCTTGGATGACTTCAGAAATGGTTTCCCTCCTCCATCTGACAACATTATTATCCGTGGCACAAAGGGGCCTTTCCCAGTTATTCTCCATAAAGACACACCTCAAGCTTCATCTATGGCCCAGCAGAAGGCCAGGAAACCATTTAATAAACACCCATGCAAGCTCAATCCATTGCAGAAATACAGAAGGGATTATGTTGCACAGGCAGAACACTGCTCAAGTCAGGACCCGCTGGTGCTCTACCCTCATCTTAAAGGAAGTGTCTCCCCAAAGGTAAAGGCCACAGTGTTTATTGCTATTCTTCCTTGAGATTAGTATCTAATTTTGCAAGTCTGAAGTATAAAAGTAGTCCAGAACCCAACTTTTTTCATAGCATTTTTTCAGGCAACATTATTTCATATAATGAACCTGCAATATCTGACTCATCTGGAGCCCAAGGAAAACTTTGAACAGATCATAATCATGAACAAGCTTCTGAGAAACCCTGCTAACAATTTAAGAAATTACACCCTATTTGTGGTCAGGCAGAATGCCCATCCCCACGGTCCCATCTGCATATGATATATGAGATGGTTATAAGAAAATGGGCTCCTCCAAATGCTAGCGTGCTGGATGAGTTCAAATGGTTTATGTTGCATTACTGAGCATGATACCCAATACAGCTAGCTGTTTCATAACAATGAATGCATCTCTTTATGTTGAAAATTGCAAAGTACCCTGGTGACTAATGCCCTAAGGCACCCACACCTGAAACTCCTTTAATTGTTCTTTGTGGACAACTTTATGTCTCATGCTTCTAGCTGTCACCTATTTCAGTGGGATGAGTTCTAGATGACTATGGACACATCACTTCTGTGACTTTAACTCTTCTGTGCTTCATTTTCCCTATCTGTCAGATGTTACAGACAGATTGGCTAGCACTGTAACACTGTAGACTCCAGCTGTGATCACCTCAGCAGGTCTGAATCCAGTTCTGTGTTCTCTCAGCAGTAAAGAGTTATTCAATAACCTCCCAGCTTGCTTAAAGCCAAGCACTGTTTTTGCACTATTTCTTTGAGAGAAAATATATATGAAAAGAATCAACAGCTTACAGACATACTTAATTTTTCAGGGGTTCCCCACATTCACATGAAGACCTTGGCAGATCTAAAGTACTTCAGATCCTCCACAGAGCCTGTCTGGCTGTCTTGTACTTGTTCCTCTTTGAATGGAGAAATAATCCCTCTCTTCTTATCTCCTTTGGGCTTTTATGTGTATACAGTTTGCTTACAATCTCCAGGGCAAACTAATCTAGGTTCTATTTAGTAGGGAGTTGGTCTAGATTAACGTTTCTTAACCTGTGGGTTGCGACCCAAAACTGGGTTGCAAGAATATATGAACGGGTTGTGAATAAACTTTAGAAGTGGATCATATTTTGCACGCATTTTTGAAAAAATAGATTCCCCTTGTGCTTCACCATCTGGTAACACTGTGAATACTAATAAACCAGGATACAGGTTTTCTGCGGAAAAAAAAGATTTTCTCCTTTAAAGGAGAAAAATGCGGGAAACCACAGGTTTTCCCTTGCAGGCTGGCAAAGTTCCAGCCTGCAAGGGGTTGCTTGGAGCCAGGAGGAGTGGGAGGAGAGCAATCAGGCAGGGGGCACCACATGCATGTGTGTGTGCACACATGCACATGGCAGCCAGGTAGTGTGAACACCTCCTGCAGCTCCCTGTAAGTAAGTCTATAAGGTAGGGGTGGGGTGGGGGGCATAGACAATGCATCAGGGGTATGGAGGAGGCACAGACAATTTTTCAGGGAGGCATGGGGGGACATGTGCCCCCCCACCAGATTTGTACAGACATGAGGCTGCAACCTGGATGGACCAGCACAGGCAGGAGCCACCTCTGTGGCCCAGCAAGTGGGAGGACAGAGCGAGGTGGTGAGACTCGCTGCTGCCACTGTCACCAGGACCCCTGCACCAACTGTGCCTCCAGCAGCACAAGGAGTAACGGACTGGGGTGGGCACGCTGCCCTTACCTCCTCCCACCACCAGGCAGCAGTTTTACTTTGCTCCTGTGGCCTGGCCACCACCGCCACTTCTCTCAGGCCATGGCTCTACCCAGAGGGGAGGTGGGGTGGTGGGAAGTGTGGGTAGCCTGACAGGAGCAGTAGTGGCAACAGCCAGGGGCCATGGTAGCAGGGTAGAGCCCCAGCCTTACACTGAGAAGCATGAGGATCACAAGTTAAGTTCATTTTGTAAAGCAGCGCAGAAGCTGAGGAGGAATTTGCTAGGGTGGAGTTTGCTGTTTTGATTGCATTAAAACGGTGAAAGTAAGTTGACCCACATGTCAGGAGAGTTTGGGGAATAAATAGGGAAGCATAGATCTGTTGAGAGAGAGGCCAGGGCTACAGAGTGGGCCTAACTAATGGTTCTGCTTATGCGGATACAAGAGTCTTTGTCTATAACATTGCTTTCTATGTAGCCTCTGGAGGAAAGGCCCTGGTGAGGTGATTTGGAACAAGTGTTCTCTTCTTGTTTGGTCCTAGATTTTTCAAGAGGTTGTAGCTGTCCTGGACCCCAAGATGTGCTTGAGTTTTGAACCTGGGTATAGAGATCATGGACAGGAAAGTCATGGTCTTCAGAAAGAGAAGTCCCCGTTGAAGGATGGGCAAAGGAAAGAAACTATCCCAGCCCCCAAGTCATCAGCACCGTGAGTACTGGGCAGGACAGTGAGCAGCACCAAGGGATGCTTGACTCTACCTCCAGCTGCTGGGCCTGGTGTCAGTTGAGTGTCTCCTTTGAACAGGGATCAGAGAGATGCCTGTGATGTTCCTGTGGTTGGGCATCTTCCAGATTCAACCCTAGTTCACTTTCAGAACGACTTGGGGAAACATCAAACTTTCCAGTAACTGGGGTCTAGCTAATCAGGGGAGCCAGCTCAGCAGATAGGAAAGTTTTCTGCCCAGGTCATCTGACTAGACATGCTCAGGAGGCTTTTCAGGCTATCAGCACATAAGTCTTCATGGGCCTCATCCCAAGCATTTCAAGTCATTGGGTAGACTCCCACTAACTTCAGTGGACTTTGGCTCAGATCTGTGTTGAATGGTCAGAACAGACCACAAAGACCAACTCATAAAAACCACTGTGCTGTAGATCTGTTGAGGCCAGCTAGCTCTATAATATAATGACCATGCAGAGAGAGCAGTAGTTTCTTGTCCCCTATGGAAGGAAGCCTGAATTTGCAAGTTGGGGAGCAAAGGGTGCTACAAGTGTCCAAACTGCTCCTGTCTGAAACCACAAGATTATCTTTATTTTGCTAGGAGGCATTTTCAGATGCTGAAATATGGTGTCTCATCTATTTCTCCAGAAGCAAAGAATCCAAAGACAAGAATCCATACATATGGTTTTCCAAGAAAAAGACAACAGCAAGAGAGAATGCAGCCAGGCTGCAATATGTTCCTCCCCTGGATGAGAATGTAAAGCAAGTAACCAAGGAGTTTTGTGATTGGGCATCTTCTTTGGTGAGTTGGAAATAAATCACCTCCCCCCTAGTCCCAGTAGTCTAAATGATATTCTCAAGAAGTTCAGACTTGCATTCCTAAACTCAGGCAGCCCCATCCTACTTGTGTCTTTAAATGTGCTGAATGCCCACAGTCTCCACATCTGCCAGCAGGAGATGGAGGTAGTCATAATTTCTAAAATATAGACTACTGATTTGGATGCTTTTAGTGGGATCCTCACATTTGCCTTGGTCCTCAACTCCTGTTAACTTTTACTGGGAGCTGACAGGCTAACTCCTCTAGGTGGGCTTAAAAATCCCAGTCTAAGTATGGCTTTCATTGCCTAACATGAGACATCCCCCTGCTCTTGAAAAAGCTAAGCTTTCCTAGTCTAACAGTACAAAAGTTTTGTAACTGGGCGAATAAAAGTGCAAAGCAAACCACAGCTCAGTTTATCCTGTAATCCTGCCAACTCTGTTTACTTGAGTGCTTGCCTGAGAGAGGCATGGGAGCAAGGGAGAGGGAATATTTATTGGATTAAACTGCCTCATGTTGGAGTAAAGTCTGTTTAGTTTTGACTGACATTGAGTTGACAGCTCTAGCAATATTCTGATAGTTTTTGTACAACATAGTCTAGGTCGGGGGTGCTCAACATCCAGCCAATGGGCCAAATGTGGCCCATGGAGCCTTGGCCTGCAGCCCACAGGACTCCTCACGGGTCTGGAAAGTTGGTGGTGGGAGACCAGCAGCAGTACTGTCACTGCTCTCTACTACCAAAATCCTAAACACCATGGGGTGGGTCAGAGCCAGGCCACAACCCTCCCCCCCCCCTCCCCCCCCATGGCCAGATGGGGACTGGACCATGCACACTTCCCTCTGTGCAGTTGTGCCCCCATCTCCCTGCGGGGCCAGCCCATTGCATCTTCTTCTGCCCTTCTCCCTCACCCCCTGCGGGGCCAAGCCATGCTCCCTTCCATCTGCCCAGCCAGGCTGGAGCCAGGCCATGCCCCTTTCTCCTGCACAGCTGGTTTGAGGCCAGGTCATATCCCCTCCCCCTGTGGGGCTGGGTTGGGGCCAGGCCAAACCCACTTCCCCCACATAGCTGCATCAGGGCTGAGCTGCCCCTCTCCCCACTCTGCATGGCCAGATGGTGCCCTGCCATACCCATCCCAGGCACCAGATCAGGCCTACCCACTGGATCCAGCCCGTGGAGGGATTGGCCACTGCCCATCCAGCTTGCTGGCCAAAAAGTTTGAGCACCACTGTGCTATAGCCCTACCCTGCCTAAACACTCTCTATGCCAAACAGGAGGTTTTATACTACCTGCATATTCCTGTAGACTAAGGAAATATCCACCTCTTCTGCAAAGTAGCTGTCAGGTCAATGGCACTTTGGGAGAGATTGAAGATCTGCTTTATTGTGTCTCCATATCCTATAAAACAGGGGTGGGCAATTATTTCGGCTGGCAGGCTACTTAATGAGTTTTGGTGAGCTGTCAAGGGCCACACACATAACATTTTTCAGAAGATACCATTTTAACAAATTATAGATAAAATATCATATACTAAACATCAAACATCTACTATAACACTTTAATTTTATTTCAAGAAATAATTTTTGTCCTGATTTATGTTTTTTTGTGTAGTGCATAAAGAGGTGATTGCATAATACCATGTATAAAGTCTTACTTTTGTGACTGCATCATCCATTTTCACTCAGCCTTTACCCCTGAAGCTGACCCTACAAACTCAGAAAGGCTAAAGAGCAAGCACATTTGTGCTATCCTCATTCCACCCTGCCCCTGGCCTTGAGAGGATGCCTTGGGATGTGCTACACTGCTCTATAGCACTACTCTGTCAGATTCCCGCTACCCAGTCAAGGCAGAGCAGCAATGGCCTTTAGAGACCTGTTTAGAAATAAAATAACAGCCTGGAAGTTACAGAATATCGGACCCCATGGTCACTTACAATGAAATCACTGCATCATATGTTGATTCAAACACTAAATATAGGCTCATATCTTAGTTTAGCATTAACGTGATAGTCGCGGGGGGAGCAGGGTGAGAGGGGCTGGGTAACATTGTGTGCAATTTCCTACATCAGACCATTACAGCACATGACATAGTGACCTTTGGAATAGTCCTCAAATGCTTACAACTAGGAAAGAAAAGAGGAACTGAACAGAATAAATTTCAAAATGATGCCTGCTGACAGTCCCCACAACTGGTTCTGCTCTGATGCATGTAGCAGTCTCCTGCGGCTTTCTTAACTGTGCACTTGACTTATTATTGCAGGGAGGTGATAAGCATAGCATTGAGGAAGATACTCTTACGTCCCTGTTTGACACTGGATACGAAACCCACCCCATGATCTCTGTGCCCATACAGGTGGTGGAGATAAACAATGTGCCACCAGAGCTGAAAAGGTGTCTGGGGGTTTCATCCTCTTGGACAGCTGTAAAGAGTCCTCTAAAGGTAAGACACTAGAGGAATAGAACAAAAAATATGTCGCTTAATTCTATAGACCTTACAGTTGCCAAATTGACATTGATTTTCATTAACGTTATACTTCCTTAAAGATTTCAGAATCATGGCCAGGGGGTCAAATTCAGAGGTCATATGTAGTAGGTTGGTGTAAGACATATCCCTTACATTACACGTTCAATCTACATCTATCCATTCACTCAGGTGTGAGTGAATGTAAGGGCTTCTAAACTACTTTAACTCCATGCCAAGGTGCTGGTGGAAAGTGTGAGCCAAAGCCAGAGTGACACCATTGCATTCTTGCAGCTTTTGGTTAACTGTTGTTCTGACTCTCCAAACATTACTCAATTCATGCAAGACATTGGCTCAGACAACCTAGGCTCAGCACAACAAATTCAGAGAACGTGTGCAAAAACGGGGATTAAGGTACCTTTGGCAAGTGGCTGTAAGAGAAGTGCATCTGTGTCATTAGGGCCAGGGGGATAGATAAATTGGTCTATTGCACCCACTGGTTTGTGTGTCTGTGTGGAGGATGATATAAATTGCCCCAGCATGGGATATGGACAAACAAACAAGGTATAGAGAATTCAAGGGGGCAAGCTTATTGCTCCTCACTACTTGGTCTGCAATAACTATCTGACTGCCTCCTTTTACCTTGTGGTAAGTGAAAGCTAAACTGTGGACATTTACCTCTGAGGCCAAACAACCATGGTTTAGCTTTCACTTAATGCAGGGTAACAGGCAAATAAGCATTTACCACAGAGTGGCTGATGTGGTAGATTCATCTCTAAATTTGGCTCCATGTTTATGAATGACCAGCTCCAATTCACATATACAGCTAATAGGACTAAAATGGTTTCTTGAAAAATAGAGATCTGGTATTCAGGGTTGGTGACGCTCAGAAGGTAAAGTATAGCGAGCTAGGATGTGCACTTGGGATGCATGAGCTTCCCAGCTGTAACTCCTTAGAGTGCCATCAAAGGGTGTTAGTGCAGAATACCAGTGTGCTGTTAAGTCATACCTTAGTTTATTTCATACTAATTTCCCCTGAGACTGACAATTTACTGAAGGTGCCTCCTGATCAATGACAAGGCAATTGTATATGTTATCTGAGTTAATGCAAAGCGATTGAAAAACAGTTTCCCACAGACACTCAGGTGATGACTCCTCTAGAGAGGGAAGGCAAATGTTTAAAAACACCCTGAAAACTGCAGAATAATGCTGTTCTTTTCTGCTAGCTAAGGTGGATTTAGAATTCTGTCAGGTTTAGTTGTGTTCTGCAGCTAGGAAAATAATACCCACATCAGATCCAAACACCAAATACATGCATTATTTTTTGATCAGAAGATACAGGCTCTATTTACTTTTTCAGTGATCTCCAGACTTTGGACTTTACTGATCCTCTGGGTCAAAAGTGGCTGGAAATAAATATTTGAATTTCTTTCTTTTTACTGTTCCTTTGTGAGACCAGGATCCTGCAAAGGAATCTATGTGGGAGCAAAGGCTTAATTAGGCGTCTTTACATGAGCTCTGGGGGTGGGCGAGGGTGCTTTAATTAGAGCAGCTCGAAGAGCCACTCTAAAGTGCCTGTAGCATTTTGGCAATCAGGACTGGTAGTAGAGATGATATCTTTTATTAGCCCAACAAGATTGTTGCAAAAAATGTCTTTAATTGCAAGTTTTCAGGCACAAACACCCTTCATCAGGCATTGGAGAAAATATTATAAAAGTTCTCCTGGGTAGAAATGAAAGTTCATATTTCATAGGATTTCACAGAGGGGCCAATAGATGGAAAACTCCTCTGGGCAGTCAGTTCAGAGCTGGTACTATGATACCAGCTCTGAACTGACTGCCCAGAGGAGTTTTCTGCCGATGCCTACATTGCTGCCTACAGGCAGTCACTGTGCCCCCCCAGCCATATCTGTGGTTGGACATGAGGATCTTGGATCAGCCTCCTCAATCATCTGTGGACTCACAAGGGACTTCCCTATTTATTGGAAGATTGTTATTCTTGTATCAAGGGACTGCTGTCACTGATATGAACTACCCTGTAATAAGGGCTTATGTCTCTGTTCCTGATTGCAGAACAATTTTTAAATTGGTATATAAAACCCATGTGAATTACTCTGGAGCATGTCCTCTACTGTCCTTGTACCTCCTCATTTCAAATCCACTATGTCCTCAGGTTTTGACAGGCATTCTGCTGGCCATGGGGGAAGCATGTGATCATGCTTTAATTTCCCT